CGTTGCATAAAATTGAATGTGCAGTGTGCTCCAAGCAGCCGGATGCCAATGTGTCTGCATCCGCTTCGTAGCCATTTTGTTGGCCCGGCTTGCTTACCGGATGCAGATAGACTGCAGCTGAGGAAACCACACTCCAGCTATTCTGCGTGCATCTTGCCAGCACAGCTTTTCCTGGTGCTGTTCGTCAGAACGGCCCAAAAGAACGACAGTTTCCATGGGACTGCCACAGACTGCCAGGCACTTGCTTTCTCTCTGATCAGGTTTGACGATGACCAAAGCGGCCAGATTGACTATACAGAGCTGCTGGGCGACAACTATCGACAACTATTCGATGCTTGCCACTCCTTATGGCAGCATTCCACGACACAACCATCCCGGTGCAAGGTTTATGCGGCATGTCTTCCCGCAAGATACAGCAGAGGAGCTGCACACCGTGTAGATTGAAACCTGAAAGCGGATTGGTGCCTGTGAAAACATGGCACTGAGCCCCGCACAACGCCAAATGTAGAATCACCCCTTTTCCAGGCGGATATGGCGCGCCGGGTGAGGAAGATCCGCAAGTCCAGCCAGAAGGCCAAAGCGGACCACAGCAATGTCTGAAATCATTTGGACATTTAGCCGAGCCTTGACATGTTGCCTTTCCTACGCTTGAAGCAGAGCAAGACACGTTCTTGCCGTTGAGCAGCTTGCTTTGCAATTGTGCCAGGTCACTGATGCCTTAGCAGCGCTGGAAAACTCCAGAGGTGTGGGAAGTGCCTTGGCAAATGGCCGCGGGTTGGTTCATGGGGACGGACAGTCTATGTTGGGCAGGACGTCCCCATCGGGCACTCTCTTTGCAGGGAGCCGCCGGGTATGTGTTTCTTTTTTTGCGAGGTCCCCCCCATATTCACATACACATTATCAATTCGGCTCCATATAGCTGTTTTGAGCTGAAAGGCAAAGCTTTCTGACCTGTCGTGGGAATGTGCTCCAAGGATCAAATGGGGCCTTGTCCCCAGCCAGTGACGGTGATAGTTAGCGTTCCGTTCCGCAAGGTTCCCACGGCGGTAGGCCCGCGACGGTTTCAGGACGGCACATGAAGTGGAGCGCAGAGAACTTAGCAGGGTGCCTCTGTGTTTCTTTTTCGTGCTTTGCGGGGGCTGACGCCCAAAAACTTGCGCGAGAGCACCTGCTTTTACGTGCTGGGGTATGAACATGTATAAATACCTTGTTTTGCGTGGAACCGTTTGGCGCACCAAGTGCTGCCATCGGCTGCTATCGATCATGGAATTTTCAGACTTGTGCACCAAGTGCCACCATGTTTTTTTACACCGGTGAAGGTGCGTTGAACAACTAGCTGCCGATTGGCGATGCCGTTGGCGGTGTTCTTCAATAAATTCAATACACAGTTGAGCTTTGGCATTTGAGAAAAAGGAGGCCACGCTTGTCCTGCGCACGGAACGGGCCGGGCAGACATGGTCCATGGCCACGTTGCCCCATTCAGCATTCTGGGGGTTCTCTGGAAAGCAAGGAACAAATACCAAGAAGGGGTTCCATAGCGTCTTCCAGCCGAGTTTTGCATGGCCAGGGCTTCCAGCCCTCCACGCCGGTGAGACGCTACAGGGTGCCATGACCAAGTTGTCGTTCGCCGTTGTCTCACTGGCTGATGGGAAATGGGCCAAGCGACGCCAGTGAAAGAATGCCAACCATCCCTGTGCAGAACTTGTGTTTTCAACCTTGCATGAGAACAAGAGATGCCGGCGCTGGGGCACGGCGTGCAGCCAACCTTAGTCGCCTTAGTCCTTCAACCTTGAGACTTCAACATCTCCAGTTTGTTGGACCCTCAGCCTCCCAATGGGATCCAGACAAAATTGGATGCGCAATGGGCCTTCTCGAGAGGGCCACTGACGGAGCCAAGGTGCGGCTGTCGGCTGGCGCGAAGGGTGCACCAGCAGCAGAACTGGAGGCAGGCGTAGGCGAAAGTTGCTCAGGTTGGTCAGGTTGCAAAGGTCATGCGGCCATTCAGGTGAGCTACGGGCGCTTGTATCCTATGGAGACGCCATAGCCTTGAAGCTTTGCGGCTGAGGCAAATGGACGCAAGTGCGATCAGTTAGGTCAACTCCGAAGACAGGTATGACGTCAACAGTTAGTTGCTTTAGACCATGGATACAAACTCAGAGCACTTGTTGGATGAATTTATTGTGTCCTGACGTTGTCCATCAACCACTGCAGGCTTGTAGCTGTGACAGAGGCGGGCTCAACAGCCAGCTAAGGCCGAGACTGCTTGTGGACAAGGCCACCACCCCAACATTAGCTGGGATGGCCTCGCCCACAATTGTTGGTCGGTCGGTCTAGCAGGTGGACAACCTTTCCAAGAAGGCATGGCAGGAGCTCACCCAGAGAGTGATCGAAGAGGCGTGCACATTGCGATTGCAGCAGCCAAGCATTTGCGTTCGCACGTCCTGCCCCCTCGGGACAACTGGTGGCACGGGACGTGGCGCTTGCCTGCTTTTGGTTCTTTCTTGTTAGGTGGAGCTTGCAGCAGGCCAGGAGTGCGTCTTCCAGGCGTGCGGAAGCATGCGGAAGAGAAAGCGAGAGAGGCTTCCCACTCATTCCTTTCACTTCACTTCGGCCAGGTATGTTCCGCCATCTCGGAGCTGCTGAAGCGGGGGGAAGGGGAGGCTCGGCGGAGAAATCGCTCCGCGTCGCCTTGTTTGGCAGGCAGTATCACGACCCAAGCAGCGAAATCCCCTTGCACGTGCGGTCCTTAGGTCCTTGGGTTCAGCATGGTCTTGATCCATGGGGCCTGAGGAGCGAATGCAGCGAAGAGAAGCTGAGGAAGCAAAGCTTAAGGAAGAGGCTGGGATGCTGTCGCACGGCGGCCACGCACCAGTTGAGGCTATGGCGTGCACCCACTCATTGTGATCTGAGGATTTTGACCTGGAAGAGTGATCACTATCTCCTTGGCATAATTCCTGAGTAATAGCTTGAACCCGCAGTACTTGACACAGCGTTCATCAATCAGCGACTTGAAAGTGCATTCACTGCATAAGTTGACATTGTTTGCGCCAACCAACAGCTGAAATGCTTTGCTTGCAGATTTGTTCAGTTGAAATTGAACAGCACAGTTTAGGCTGAGAATGACGGAAAGCGACGATGTGTTGGCTGGTGATTCCAGGGATGCTGGCTGGTGATGCTCGTCCCCCTTGCTTTGTTTTCCAGGGAGCTATATGATTTAAGGAGTTTGTTTCTCGCTGGATTGGGATTTTTTTCAGTCCCCTGGGCAGGCAAGCAAGCAAACAAGGCAGCCAGCGCAAGCGAGCAAGCAAGCAAGCAAGGAACCACTTTTAAACCTCCCGTATACCTTAAACACCAAACCACCTACCCCACACCTGCCTCGACCCATCTCACACCCAGCCTAAACCTACCCCAAACCTACCCCAACTTCAACAAACCCAACCAACCCAAATTCAATCTCAACCCAATCCTAAGCTGCCCAAACCCACCCTAAACCACCCACACACGCACAAGCAACCGCAAACACACCCTAGACGCACCAAGGATGTCCCGGATGACGGAAACCCCGAGCGCACCCTAAACCTACTTTAAACAAACCCCCCATCCTAAACCCACCCTACCCATGCTAAACCTAACCTAAGGCAACCCTGCCCCCCCAAAGCCCAAAGCCCACCCCAAGCCTGCGCTAAACCCACCCTAGACCAACCCTGAACCCGCCTTGCACCCACCCTGAACCCTAAACCTACGTACTTGAAACCCACCCGAAACGCACTTTAAACCCACCCTGAGCCCATCCTAAACCCACTCGAAACCCACCCGAACGCACCCCAAACTGCCCGAAGCCAATCCTGAACGCACCAAACCCAACCCCAAGCCCACCCCACACGCCCCAACCACCCTAATACCCTAAGCGCGCCCTTGACCCACCTTAAACCACTCCAGAAGTGACCGGAAAATGGAATGGAGCAAAAATCCCAAAAGCGCTAAAACAACAATTCAAAAAAAGGCCGGTCCTTTCCAATGCCGTGCCTTGTTTTCCCCCAATGCCTTGCTTTGTTCTCCCTTGCTTTCTATTGCTCTCCCAGCTTTCCCTTTGCTGTCCCTGCATTCCCTGCCGTCCTCTTGGAAACCCTTCACACATCAGGGCAGTCGCTTGCCATGCTGGATTGCAGAGAGCCGCCAAAGAGGTCGTATGTCCTGCAGTGGCAACAACTCATGTAGCCAACTGCGCTGCGCTGTTCCCCCCAGCAATGCAATGCAATTAAATTGCGCTCCCCGGAGCGCGACTTGGCAGCTTGTTGGCTTGTAGACTTCTGGATTGTGCGAAGGCCGCGCAAAAACGCCGGGAGCTCGCCCAGAAACAGGCATTGGATGAATGGGAGAAGCAGAAGCAGGCGGATTTGTACTGAGTGGTGCGGCCGCTTTCGCTTTGCGCTTTTGGATTGGTTGGCCATTGCTTCCGTATCAGTGATAGCATTTAGGGCAGGCATGCTCTACTTGTCAGCTGGGCTGAGAAGCATGGTGCCATTTGCGAGTTGACGCCCCGTCTCTGCCATTTGTACCGTTTGCACTCTAGGATTGCTGTATTTGTTGGTTTGTGTCAATAGCAAAGAGGTTAAGGAGAACCAACCACCACGCAGGACTTGAGTCTTTATCTAGTTTGCTGCTTTGCTAGATGAGCGTTGCCCAAATAGGTGAGATCCCTTTTTGGGAACGGGCAACGGGGTCCGATTTCGTCCAGACTTCCCTTAACTCCCGTTCGATCGGAGGCGGAGCGGCAGCGCATGGAGCGTTACGAGGAGAAGCGCAGGGCCGTGGCAAGGGCTGGCCCGACCCAGTTGCACCGAAGTCACGTCATGTGGTTCCCAGCCATCCGGTTCCTTAGCTTCATAGCTTTTTCGGGTTTTAGTGAGGCTTTGCAAGCAACCAGCTAAAAGTTAAACTTTTAGCAGGGGATCTGAGGACGGCCCAGATAAGGGGAAGGATCAGAAGCAAATGTTTATGAATTCCGATCAGACCAACGTGGGTTGGCCGCACCCTTATCCCAAATGAATGTTTTTAAAACTGCAAAAACTGTCTGCTTGGTGGGCTCTTTCTGTTTTGCGTGGCAGGTGGGGGATGGTGAAAGCCTCAGACAAGCAAGGGGTGCTTAGTCCACCTGCAGGGATGCCACAGGATGCCACATGTTGCTTGTGAATGGATGTTTGTTGAGCACCTTGCCACGCAGCTGTTCTGGGCAGAGGGGCCATGGCAGTGTGTCAAGACACTGCCTGGCCAATGGATGGACCATGTTCGTGAGCGCTTGCGCACGCAATGTGCCGCTGCTGAAAGCGAGTGGGCCAATGCCAGCAGAGCTTTTGGCCAGCATTGCTGATTCTCTCTCCCTGCCTCCCCGACAGCGGCTCAGTGTCTCCCTTTGATTCACCCACCTTGAAGTTTATTGATCAGTCTTTCAAGCAGTTCAGCTCGCCAATGCTGCTCCCTGAAGGAATCTACGTAATTCAGCCCAATGGGGCACGTTGATACAAATCAGTCGGCCCTCAGGCCTTGAGGTCCTTGCTCTGACATGCACCCAGCAGAGGTCGCAATTCGCATGCTGCAAAAACGGCCTAGGCAAGCCATCGTTTGAGTGGCTTGAAGTAAACGACCCACTCTTGGGCCCTTTTTGTTTTGGGCCGTCGGACTTTGAGGCTGTGGCGGCTGCCAGGGCCAAGGAGGACGAGCTCCGCGCCGAGTTGAAGTGGCGGATTTCCGAGAAGTCGGCGGCGGAGCGCGCGGCGGCGGAGGTGGCGGCACGGCACGAGCTGGCCAAAGAGGCGCGCCGCGCGCATGCGGTCGACCGAATCACGGGCGAAAAGTAGGACACGTGTCAAGTGTGGAACTTGCTCGGGCCGACCGGACAGCATAGAATGCCACAGGCCTGCCTGAAAGTAGATGTGACTGTTGTTTTTTCAACTCTCGCTGTACTCCGAGGAAGTCTTGAGCCAGCCCCAAGAAAGCAAGAAAGGAGCAACACCGACCGTCAACGAAGATTCCCATGAGCCAGATATACCTCGTACCTGAATCAAATCTTAAGAGGTTTGATGGTGCAAGGTCTGGCCACCTAACCCTGGCAATCCCCACATGCCCCACGTTCACCTTGAGGCACTGCAGCAGGCGGAGAAGCAGTGCGCGGAAGCGGGGGCGGAGGCGGCCCAAAAGCAGGCACTCATGGGGCAACTGATGGAGCTGGAGGCGTCCATGCAGAAGCAGGGCCAGCTGGTGGAGGCCCCCCCACAAATGGGGCCTCTTACAAGAGGTAGCGATGGTAGTGGGCTTTCCTGAGGGCCTGTGCTCAAGCGAGATGTGATGCCCCCCCCCCCCCCTCCTGGGCAGAAACCGTGGATGAATGGAGCTTCTCCAGCTTGATTACTCAAAGGATTCGGTGCTCGGGGGAACAAGCCTAGAGCAGGGGGGGGGGGTTTGCCTGCTTCACTAGTGGAACGCCAACTGAAAGAAAAAGTGAATCTGGCAACTGGGTTTGATCTCAAAACCGGCATGTTGTGGGACGAAATGCAGGCGCAAGATTGTAAAGGCCACCCCTAGAAATCACAACTACGGCACTAAGTCAACATAGCTCGAGGAGCAGGAGCGGAAGACATGATGACATGGATAGAATTAAACCTATATAAGTAACAAGCCTGTGGCAACCAGCAACGGAGGTCGAACAAGGGCTGCGACCCGGACACCTTTCTTAGGGCAGCAGCCATGCCAGACCCCAGCCCCTGAAAGAATCTCGCATTTGAAGGAGGCGAAGCAGGAGGCGCAGAAGGCGAAGACCGAAGCTGCAGAGGGCGGCAAGGCGATGGATGGGCTCCGGCAAGAGCTGAACTGCCTTCAAGCACTGTACAGCCGGGAGAAGTCCAGCGTGCAGACCTTGCACGAGCTGACCCGGAAACAAGCAGAGGACCTGAAGAATTATGATGAGGTGCTCCTGGAGGCTCAGAAGAGCCGCGGTCAGCTCCAGGCCTTAAATGCCCACAACGAGGGCTTGCAAGAGAATTTGCGGAGTCACAAGGCCGAGCAGGCCAGGCTGGCGGAGAGCCTAGAGGCCAAGGCCCAGCAGCTGCTGGAGGCCACCTCCCGCGAGACGCGGATGTCTGGTCAGCTGTCGGCGCTGCGGGAAGCCTTGGTCAGCGCGCAGGATGATGCCGCGGCACTGAGGGCTAGGCTGTCATCCCGGGCTCCCGTTCAGCCCCAGCCCCCTGTCTCGCCCCCGCCTGTCTCGCAGCCCGCGCCCTCGCAGCCCGCTCAGCCTTCGCAGCCTGTCAAGCTAATTCAGCCCGTTGAGGCGGTGCAATCCAGAGGTTTGGAAGGCAACCCACTTGGGATGCCTGCACAAACCCGTGATATGATCCCAAGCGCTGCCTTCCAGCCCGACAAAGGCACACACGCAGCAGATGATTTCCCAGAGACGCAGGTAGACGCCGAAGGCGACACCAAGCGCCGACGCACGGGCGACGTCCTGCCGAGCAGAGAGGCCAGCTTTGTTCCCGTGGCCCCTGCTCCCCCACCGCGGATCTCCATGGCACCGCCCATGCCAGCGCTGGCACCGATGCGTGTGCCACTGTCACCACCCGCACCTGAGCCGATGCCCAGAAATCAGATGGCAAGCACGAGGCAACAAGCCGAGCCAAGGCGAGAAGTGCCAACCCCAGCCCCAAGCATATCGAGTTTGGGCGTGCGAGACTTAAAGCCTGCCACTCCGCCAAGCAGCCCAAGGTGCACACCACTTGGCGCCACCAGGGAGCGGGCACGAGCACGGCCGCGGTCCAAAGAGGAGGTCGAAAGGCTGGCTCATTCCATGTTCTCCTCCAAGCCCTTGGCGAAGCAGTTGCGCGGCCCTCCTTTGAAGCTTTACCAGGCACACATCGACTACGTGCTGTCCAACTGGGACAAATACGATGCGCCGGAGAAGCAGCCCAGACAGCGCTGTGAGGGCCGCGAAAATCGCGAAAGCTCCGGGGCCTGGCTGGCTGTACAGAATTTTCTCCAGAGCCCGGCTTCAACAGGTGAGAGCCCAGGTGCGCGTGCGCGCTGCATCGTGTCAAGGGCGAGGTGAAGGTGCCAAACAAGTGCTTGGTGGGTCACCGGCTGCGAGCGAGCTCCACAAAATTGGAAAGGCAAGGGAGGTCTGAAGTTATGGCCCCAAGTCTATCCCAGTGTCATGCCTGCCGATTGCAACACCACAATGACAATTGAGGTGGGGGCAATTTGGACTTCCTGCCTGGCGACTCGGAACTAGGCACACAAGGCAGGGCACCAGGACACTTCAAGATTGACCAAGCATCAAGGACAGGTTTCAGGTTTTTCCCGTAGGACAGGCAGGCCTCAGGGCGACATGGAACATATGTTTCATTTTTGCAGTAGGAGGCGGATGCGAAAGATATATTCAGGAGACTGCTGCCTTACTTGCCCCAAGCTGTTTTCACAACAAGCATTCTGTATTTCCGGGATGCGTGATTGGAGGCAAGCCTGCTTTGCCAATGCCAGCAGCTTAGCTTTGCGATACGAGCAGCTCCTTTTCCATTGCCGTGCCTGTGGCAAGGGATTTTGGATTTATGGTGTGCCAACATGTTTGTCTTGCTATGCGGGCGTTCTGTTTGCAGTTGTTGAATCATGTTGTTCAACACTTGGGCGGTGTGACTTCTCCTTTCTGGGCTGCCTCACTTCTCGACCTGCCTTCGGCATGTGTCAGGGTAACATCGCCAAGCAAGCTTCAAAGTGTCACAGTAAATTACGTGTCTTTACCCTCTTGCCAGTTTTTAGATGCTATGTTATAAGCTGACTCGTTGAACGCTTGAAAACTGCAGTGTGGTCACCAGCTCTTGCAAGCCTCCGCCCTTTATAATATGGAGGGGTATTTATTTTGGGATTTTTTCAGCTTTTTTTTTTGATGTGTTTTTTTTCCGCTTTTGGCTTCTTGGCTTTTCGGCTTCTTGGCTTCTTGGCTTTTTGGCTTCTCGGCTTCTGGGCTTTTCGGCTTTTCGGCTTTTTGTTGGTGTATGCGGCTTTTGGTGGCTTTTCGCATCCTCTGCTTTCACAGTTCCCCTCTGGGCTTTTGGCTTTTGCACCCTTTCATTTTTGGATTTGGCTTCCCGCATCATCAGCATCACCAGTTCCTCCCTATTTGAATCATCACTTCCTCGAACATCATGGGGGGGGAAGCACCCCCCCCCACCCGCTACTGTTTAGATTGTTTGCAGAGTAATTGCAGCCCTATTCACACTTCTTCAAACATCATGGGGGGGGGCTGCAACCCCCCCGCTACTTTTTAGACTTTTTGCAGAGATTGAATTGCACCCCTGTTCGAATCATCACTTCTGCGAACATCATGGGGGGGGCACCTCGCTACTTTTTAGTTTTCTTTTTTTTACAGGGCCCGCCAGCTACTTTTTCGATTTTGTTACCCACGGTTTGTTGGTGATGCTAGGGATGTTGGTGGGACATGCGGGGGATGTTGAAAACAATGCTGGGGATGTTGACGGGCTAGTGTAAAATGTGTTAATTTCGCGAGAAATGCTGTAAAATACAACATATTACTGGCCCGGACGAAAAACGAAAAACAATCCCAAATAAATCCGCACCCTTACAATACAGAGCGGTGATTGAAGTTCACCATTGTTCTGCGGATTTCCTGCCACAACTGCCATGATTTGCAACAGGTTTGCTTACTAGGAGCCCAGCTTACCAATCCGAAAGCCAACCAGTTGGCACGTTGAGACCCGATCATGGCGGGGCTCGATGGCCACAGCGTTTCTGTGGGTTTGTGAAAGCTTGGCAGCGCTGCAGGCCAGAGAAGCCGCAAGCACAGGCCGCGCCCGCACAGGCATCCGAGAATCCCAGCAGCTTGCGACGTTTGATCTCTGCAAAAAGGGAAAAGGACCAGTTTCGGAGATCCTCGGTGACAGGCTGTGGCACGCCCTAACACGCCGCCGCTTGACCAAGAAGAATCCTCGCGCTTCAAAGGCCGCATGTGTAGCACGTGTCGTGAAGCCAATGCTCTACCTCTCTGTGTTTCTGTCCTGCCTCTCTCTGTCCTGTCTGTTTCTCCGCCCTATCCTGTCCTGTTCCTTTGCCTGAGTGCCCGTTTGTCTGTTTGTCTTTCTGTCTCGCTGTCTTGCTGTCTTTATGTCTGTCTGTCTGTCTGTCTTTCTGTCTGTCTGTTTGTCTGTCTTTGTCTGCCCCTGTCTGTCTCTGTCTGCCCCTGTCTGTCTTTGTCTACCCCTGTTTGTCTCTGTCTGCCCCTGTCTGTCTCTGTCTGCCCCTGTCTGTCTTTGTCTACCCCTGTTTGTCTCTGTCTGCCCCTGTCTGTCTCTGTCTGTCTTTGTTTGAACCTGTCTGTCTCTGTTTGTCTCTGTCTCTGTTTTTGGCCCTGTCGCTCTTCTCGCACTCTGGGTTTTCGGCCGACGTGCAATAGGCATATTGCTGGTTGCTTCTGTTCGCCTTATTGATTTGCTTGGCTTGTGGGCGTTCCTTCTGCCCTCGGCCAGCGCTCGTTCACAGGTGGCGGCCGACAACGAGCCCCATCAGAAGATAGTTTTGAAGGCCAGTCCGGGACATCTCTTGCTACCCGTCGAGCTTGCATGCGTCAGCGTTGGGCTTCCCAACGCCATGCTGGCTCCAGAGGCTTGATGCCTAACGTTGAGATCCCGGTGCCGTTTGCTGCGCAGGCTCCTTGCCATCCTTTACCGCTGGCCTGTCTTCAGGCACGGCTTGTTGGGCTAACCGGTTGTGACTGCTTTAGGCTTTCCTGGAGCGAAGGGCTGGGCAACCAGCTTGGGCCGCCTCTTGGGCTCGCGGTTTTGGCAGGGCCTTTCGTCTTCGAGGCCAGTATTCAAGAGGCGCGGCCAAGGGGCTCAGTGGAAACCTGTTGGCTGGCAAGCTGCGAAGCATGTGGTGGATCATGGAAAAGCTGAACAACTCGGAAGCTTGGGTTTTTGCAGGAGCCACTGAAGCCCAAAGAGCCACCGGCACCAAAGGCAGGCATGTAGGTCCCATGCTTCTTGCGTGGTGTTTTAGGCTTCAAACGGTGCTGCAGGCAGCGCCAAAAGCTCAGCAAAAAGCAAGTCCGAAGATGAAGCCAGTGGCTTCTCCAAACCGCAGCTTGGCAAGGGATGGATCATGGCAAGTCATTTGCTTGACTTGCCCTGTCATGAGTGGATCGTTTTGCGATTGGCCGGGGCGTTTTAGGGTATCAGAACACGTGTTTGTAAGTGGTGCCAATTCCGTTGGTTGGTTGACAAGCACCAGGCCTCGCAATGAGATTTTGGCGTGGCATTCCAGAGCAACAAGCAAATGCAAACCCCCGCTTGCCTGGCTTCTTTTTGCTGAAGAACAAGCGCTCACGTGCCACATGCCACAGTGTTTTCGTGACTATTCTGTAACATGTGCTGCTGCCCTGCTTTGCTTAACTTTTATCCACGCTAATCTCGTATTGCTTGTATGCTTGCTGCTCCTCTGCCCCTTTGCGCCTCTTCTCCATGGCTAAGCTGGTGGCACTTCTTCCAACAGCGCGAGCGCTGCGGACATGTACTCGTGGCAATGGGCTGGGCCGCAGATGCAGCCAAGGCGATGCCCGCGGCGAGCCCGGAGCTCAGGCAGATCCAGGGCGTTCTGTCGGGCAGGCAGGGGGTACCTCTTCAGGGATACCTCGAGAACATTCGAGAACTGGTCATTTGGCATGATGGTGCCGAAACAAAACGTATGGTGCATTTCGCGCCCATGGCGTTGCATGAACGCTGCGCGTGTGGCGCTCCCCTTGGCTCGAGCTGCGGTCAACGACAATTCCGAATTCGGCAACCTCGAATCACGCATGTGAATTGGACTTTCAACCCCATAGGTCCATAGCTACAGAGCGGACAACGGCTTTGCTGGCATGGCATGGCGGGCTTGCCCAGCATTGCGCGGAAGCGCCCGGGTCGATGCCGCAACCAACGCTTGCCGAAGCTGAAGACCGCGCCTTCCGCGCAGAGCGCCGCCCCAGCGCCAGACCCATTGGGCCCAGGTCCCAGCGTGACGTCAGCCTTGAGCCAGACGGAGCCCAGGCATCGGCTCCACTTGGGTGAAAGTCATGGCTTTCCCAAGAAGAACAAAGAACAAAAGTCATTACTTTCTTGAAGCGAAGAACAAAAGTTGAAGTCTCTCTTGGACCTTACGACATTGGAGCCCTGAGCCCCCAGGTGGCTTGCCGAATGCCGCGCCGGTCTGAAAGCGGTAGACCCCTGGAGTCAGTTGCTGGAGAGCCTGACCGGGGAGCCAGTGAAGTGGAGAGGGAAACACAGGCCAAACCGGCGACTCCTGGCCCAGAAGACCATCCAGGGCATTCTGAACCAGCAGTCGCAATCGCAGATGTCGCAGTATAGCATCAGCCTGGACGACCGCAAGTTTCGAAAGGTTTCCTCCACTGAATCCATGTCCTCTTCCCTCCGTGATTCGGACACGGAAGTGGATGCCACAGCTGGCAAGCCAGGGCCCACTGCAAGTTTCTTGGCGTGACTAAAGCTTGTCTTGGGCGGCGCTAGAGGGTAGCTCCAGCTGCACCATTTCAATGTGCGAATCGTTGTTTTGTTGGGCGGGCTACTGTTTGACCCTTCACTCTTGTCCATGTTTGTCAGATTCTTATATGAAAGGCTCTGGGTATGCAGGATGGTACAGGGGGGAGGGAGGGAGGGTGGTCACGGGTCGAACATGTCAGTTGTTCGTCCCATGTTCTCATTGAGCTGAGCTGGCATGTTTGGCGGCACAATTCTTTGTCCTCGGGGCTTGGCATGGAAACGTGGGATCTGCAAAATGATTGGCACAGGCATTGAGCAGCAGAAAGCCGCAGAGAATGTTGTCACATTCAAAGACGAGCATGATCATTCACCGCGAGTTTCTATTGGATCAGCCGGAGGACCCAGAAAGCAATATCACGGAGCCCATGCTGTCAAGTCAAACGGCGTCCAAATGGCGTGACTGTGCTCGTTTTGACCCTTGGACTCGGCAGGTGGATGCACATACAGCATCAGAGATGAGGCAGAGGATGAAAACTACACTGCGAAGACGCATCCACAGCATCCGTGAGATGGTCCTGAAGCAACGCAATGAAAATGATGCACAGAAGCCTTTTGCCTGCAAAGCCCAAACTGCAGTGATGTCGGGTTGTGGCCGTGGGGAGCGGATTTCATGAGTGCCCGGTTCAAATGATGTCATTGAAGCGTGCCTCCACGACCTTATGTGGCCGGTTCGCAGCCTTTTTTCTCACCAGCCAGGTTGGGTTTATTTAATTTACGTGACATCTGACCGCCCACCGCTACGCCCGCCCACCGCCGGGGCAGCTGTGGCCAGACCAAGGCAGCCCTGAAAGCGTGAGGCTCGTGCCGGTGACAGTGCCAGGGCACTGTGGCTACCCAAAGCCGTGGCCAAGCCGAAGCCTGAGGCTCCCACCAGTGACAGGCCGCAGTGACAGGCAGACGTCTGAAGAAGACGAACCAGGACAGCAACCTTCGAACTGCGGCGAGCAAGCGGCTATTGGCCATGTAGTTGGATCTTGGGGCTGCAGATGATGGGGGGCAGCAGCGCTGTCGCATCAGCCAGCAGCAGCCTGAGGCCCCGCACGCGGCCGGATTGACTTTTCGTGCCTGCGTGGTAATTCTAGTTTAGTCAAGAAACTTTCTTTGGCGGATTATAACTTGCATGGTTGTGCCTTGAGATTCTGCCACTCAGGAAGTATGAACACATTCCGCAAAAAGAGAAGGATGCACTGGAGCGTGCTTTCTTCCAATATGACGCGGACCTGTCCGGCTACCTGGAGTGGGAGGAGGTCATCCCTGCTTTGAGGGACGCTCAGCTGAATTGGCCGGGCGCGCGTCTAACATCTTGACAAAGGAGGCTCAGTTCAGGCATGTCAACTCAGGAGCTGGGCTTGTCAGGGTCCAACGCCATTGAGAAGCGGGACGCTTGGACGAAGCTAGCGGCGGAGCTGGCAAATGGTTCCCCCAAACTGAAAACCACAACATCATCAATATTAACATCCAAGCTTGAGATTTGTGGCACCAAGGAAATCTTGCAAGTCTGCCGCAACGTGATGACCGCCACCAGGGTGCAAAAGATCTACACCAGCTCCACGGGCTTGCAGCAGGCCTCCCGGCTTGGTCAAAGAAGGGGCTTGAATCCTGCAGCCTTCAGGTCTTGCTGGCGCAGAGGAACCGCATGCAGAACCAGCCCCGTGTCAAGCTGGGTGTCTTAAGGAAAACAACGGCGGCAGGAGCATCAGGAGCAGGGTCTCCCTGTGCAGCCTGATGCTGGCAGAAGTGCATATCCACGCATTGCACAAAGCGCGCCAAGCCATTCTTCATTTGAACCCCGCGGCTGGCTCCCCCCATCAAAACTTGTAGAGAGGGAACGGCCTGAAAGAGTCATTCAGGTCCAGGTTCTCGAAGGCTCCAGGGAATTGTCAAGGCCTGGCCCCGCGAGGAAAGAGAAGCTCCGGCACAGCGCTCGCAGAAGCCCGAAGCATCAAACCCATGGACGCTCATCGGGGTTGGGCGCACAGCCTCGTCTCTGGGGGTTGGAACTGCACAGATTGAGGGCTTTAGAGGAAGCATGATTTCTTTAAAGCGTAAAGGCCAATCAACACATTTAGCTGGGGCCACATGTTTAAGTCCTCTGGGATTTGGTAGCGAACTGCCAGGCATTTCGGGCCCGTGGGATGTCATCTTGTTTGTGGGGGGAGGGGGGGAAGCACCCTCTATCTGCAAGGAACCTGCAAAGAATGAGAAAAGCGAGAAGAGTGACGACAGGAAAAGTGATGACAAGAAAGAGGAGCATGGAAGCAGAGAAAGCCGAAGGAGCAGCTTTGCTTCCTCTGCAGGTGCGAGCAGCTCCCTGTCGGAAGGAAGCGGTAGCGAGGACTTCGATGTGGGTTTGGACATGGCACCCTTGGAGAAGGTCAGCTTCGATTTCTTGACCTTTGCAGGGTTTCTTGGTTATTCTTTGGTACGACTTTTCACCTTCTAACCCTTGAAGAGTGGCGGTCCCCCGACTTTCAAACAACTTGGCTTCTCGAAGCGGTCCGAGATCAACCAAGGATTTTAGTTCCAAAAGTGCGACAGCGACTTACAGAGTTACAAAGCACCACAGTCATGCGGTACTTCTGCAACTTTGATCGCGAAGGCACGGGCGCCATCTCGGTGTTCAAGTGCGTGGAGATTTCAAGATGCCTTCGGATGGACCAAGTTCTGATGCTGGATGCCTTGAAGGAGAATGGATTTACTCCAGAGAACTCATCCTTGGTTGACTTCGACTCCTTTGAACAATGTGTCATGAGCTGTCGCGAGCACACGAACCGCCAGCAGCGAGAGCGAGAAATCGAGATCCTCCTAGAGATGCACATCAGACCTGAGCTCTTTGCGGAATGCAGAGACACCATTGCTCAAATGTACGACATCTTCCGACGTTGTGCAGGCGACGCTGGCTCCATCGGTGTGATGACAGCAAACGATGCGTTCCTAGCAACGTACGAGCTGGGCATGATGCCCCGCGAAAGATGGAGGAAAGAAAAGATCAAGCAGTTCCTGGTCCCAGAAGATGCTGAGGACAGCGTTCACAGGTCGAATTCTTCCCGAGCATTCCTGCTCCAAACAACGATGCAAACAGAACGACTTTGCTGAAGATTGCCGTGCTACGGGGCAGGCTCCTGTTAAGTCCCACATCTTATGAAAGAAGCTATATAAGGGAGCTCTTTCAGGATCTGATCCTGAAAAAGCTTCGAATGCTGCACCTTGTGTGTTCCTCATCTAGCCCTCTTTTGGTGGTTCTAAGGGGCTGACCTGGAGCATCCAAATTGATTCCACAGTCATGGTGAGGACTCCGTGTACATGCAGGTTGAGCTCAACTTCGAGGAATTCTTGGAGTTTCTGAGGCGGGGTACAGTAAAGCCTTACCTTTCACCAACTCCCAACCTTGCAAACACCAACTGAAGTCTATGGTTCTAAGTTTGGGGGTTTGGGCCTGTTTTCTGCAGGCAGCTCAAATAGTTCGTTCACAAACTCGCCAGACGTTGACGCGCCAGACGCCAGGAAGGTGCGGCTGCAGAACGACGGGCAGCGCCTGGAAGAGCTCACGGCGAAGTTCCTACGCTTGGACAAGGCAGGGATGGCTAAACAGGGAAACTAGAACGAAATGGAAACCAATGGGGCCGCTGTTTTGAGACAAGCCAGTTGGAGAAGGCTTTCTGGGTTTGTGAAGATCGTACCACAATCTTGGGGACTTTGGGAGCCTCCACACATCTTGTTGTGGTAGCGGAGCAGTGGTCTACACCTTTGCCGGGATCAGCGGAAACTTCGCGATGCTGAAGGGCGTGGAAGCGGCTCGGCTGAGTCAACGGACCAGCCTTATACTGGCAGGGCACACTCGCTCGTCCCTGTGCTCTGCAATGCTAAGCGGAACTATAGGGCGTGCCGCAAGCAGTGTCTCAGAAGTACCAGACGGAGTGAGGGCGGGGAGACTATCCACCAGGTGCACCAGGTGGAGCTTCTGGGTGGCGGAGAAGGTGAACGAATTGTGTATTTTTTGGGTGTGGCATTGAAGATCGAGGGAATGTCTGCATCATCTTAGGTTGAGGGCTTCGTGGGCTTCACGCACTCCTTGCACGGCCACATGTGCGAAGCGGAAGGAGTCACATGCTGATGCGCAATTTGCGCGACGTGAAGGTCGTGCAAGAATCTGTAACCTCACGAGGCACGGTCTCAAGGGAGGAACGGCCACTGTCACAGTCGTGGCAAAAAACTCGTTGCAGTGCGTGTGTGAGTGAGCGAGTGAGCGAGTGAGTGTGTGAGCGAGTGAGCGAGTGAGCGAGCGAGTGTGTGAGCGAGTGAGCGAGTGAGCGAGTGAGTGTGTGAGCGAGCGAGTGGGTGAGTGAATGGCGCGGGGTTTGGGGGGGGAGCCTCCACACATCTTGTGTGGTAGCGGAGCAGAGGTCTACACCTTTGCCGGGATCAGCGGCGACTTTGCGATGCTGCAGGGCGCGGAAGCGGCTGAGTCAACGGACCAGCCCACAAAGCCCTCAATCTTGGCCATTCCGGTAAGATGATGCAGACATTCGTGCGGCGGCTCGATCTTCAACGCCACTCTTCTCCGCCATCCAGAAGCTCCACCTGGTGCACCTGGTGGGTAGTCTCCCCGCCCTCACTCCGTCTGGTACTTCTGCGACACTGCTTGCGGCACGCCCTATAGTTCCGCTTAGCATTGCAGAGCACAGGGACAAGCGAGTCTGCCTTGCCAGCATAAGGTTCATGCACGCCTTGCACGGCCACATGTGCAAAGCGGAAGCAGTCACATGCCGATGCGCAATTTGCGCGATTCCCCTCTCCCGATGTGAAGGGCGTGCAATCTGTAACTTCACGAGGCACTCTCTAGGAACGGCCACAGTCGTGGCAAAAATCTCGTTGCAGTGCGTGTGTGAGTGAGGGAGTGAGTGCGGGGTCCGGGGGCGAGGGCGGGGGGAGCCTCCACACATGCTAAGCGGAACTATAAGGCGTGCCGCAGTTGTCTTAGGCGTTCTGGGTATTTGAGAGTCGGCCTTGGCAATACTAAAGTAGAATTGGCAATACTACAGTAAGCACTGGGAATTTGAGAGTCGGCCTTGGGAATTTGAGAGTCGACCTTGGCAATACTAAAGTAGAATTTGCAATACTACAGTAAGTACTGGGAATTTGAGAGTCGGCCTTGGCAATACTAAAGTAGAATTGGCAATACTACAGTAAGCACTGGGAATTTCAGAGTCGGCCTTGGCAATACGAAAGTAGAATTGGCAATACTACAGTAAGTACTGGGAATTTGAGAGTCGGCCTTGGCAATACTAAAGTAGAATTTGCAACACTACAGTAAGCACTGGGAATTTGAGAGTCGGCCTTGGAAATTTGAGAGTCGGCCTTGGCAATACTAAAGTAGAATTTGCAATACTACAGTATGCGCTGGGAATTTGAGAGTCGGCCTTGGCAATACTAAAGTAGAATTGGCAATACTGGGAATTTGAGAGTCGGCCTTGGCAATACTAAAGTAGAATTGGCAATAATACAGTAAGTACTGGGAATTTCAGAGTCGGCCTTGGCAATACTAAAGTAGAATTTGCAATACTACAGTGAACTTGAGAGTCGGCCGTGGCAATACTAAAGTAGAGTAAGTACTGGGAATTTGAGAGTCGGCCTTGGCAATACTAAAGTAGAATTGGCAATACTACAGGAAGTACTGGGAGTTTGAGAGTCGGCCTTGGCAATACTAAAGTAGAATTGGCAATACTACAGTAAGTACTGGGAATTTGAGAGTCGGCCTTGGCAATACTAAAGTAGAATTGGCAATACTACAGTAAGTGCTGGGGATTTGAGAGTCGGCCTTGGCAATACTAAAGTAGAATTTGCAATACTACAGTAAGTACTGGGAATTTGAGAGTCGGCCTTGGCAATACTAAAGAAGAATTGGCAATACTACAGTAAGCACTGGGAATTTCAGAGTCGGCCTTGGCAATACTAAAGTAGAATTGGCAATACTACAGTAAGTACTGGGAATTTGAGAGTCGGCCTTGTCAATACTAAAGTAGAATTGGCAATACTACAGTAAGCACCGGTAATTTGAGAGTCGGCCGTGGCAATACTACAGTAAGTACTGGGAATTTGAGAGTCGGCCTTGGCAATACTAAAGTAGAATTGGCAATACTACAGTAAGTACTGGGAATTTGAGAGTGCCTTGGCAATACTAAAGTAGAATTTGCAATACTACAGTAAGCACTGGGAATTTGAGAGTCGGCCTTGGCAATACTAAAGTAGAATTGGCAATACTACAGTGAACTTGAGAGTCGGCCGTGGCAATACTAAAGTAGAATTTGCAATACTACAGTAAGTACTGGGAATTTGAGAGTCGGCCTTGTTGGCAATACTAAAGTAGAATTGGCAATACTACAGTAAGTACTGGGAATTTGAGAGTCGGCCTCGGCAATACTAAAGTAGAATTGGCAATACTACAGTAAGCACTGGGAATTTCAGAGTCGGCCTTGGCAATACGAAAGTAGATTGGCAATGCTACAGTAAGTACTGGGAATATGAGAGTCGGCCTTGGCAATACTAAAGTAGAATTTGCAATACTACAGCAAGTACTGGGAATTTGAGAGTCGGCCTTGGCAATACTAAAGTAGAATTGGCAATACTACAGTGAACTTGAGAGTCGGCCTTGGCAATACTCAAGTAGAATTGGCAATGCTACAGTAAGTACTGGGAATTTGAGAGTCGGCCTTGGCAATACTAAAGTAGAATTTGCAATACTACAGTACGTACTGGGGATTTGAGAGTCGGCCTTGGCAATACTAAAGTAGAATTGGCAATACTACAGTAAGTGCTGGGAATTTGAGAGTCGGCCTTGGCAATACGAAAGTAGAATTGACAATGCTACAGGAAGTACTGGGAATTTGAGAGTCGGCCTTGGCAATACTAAAGTAGAATTTGCAATACTACAGTAAGTACTGGGAATTTGAGAGTCGGCCTTGGCAATACTAAAGTAGAATTGGCAATACTACAGTGAGTACTGGGAATTTGAGAGTCGGCCTTGGCAATACTAAAGTAGAATTGGCAATGCTACAGTAAGTACTGGGGATTTGAGAGTCGGCCTTTGCAATACTAAAGTAGAATTGGCAATACTACAGTAAGTACTGGGAATTTGAGAGTCGGCCTTGGCAATACTAAAGTAGAATTGGCAATACTACAGTAAGTACTGGGGATTTGAGAGTCGGCCTTGGCAATACTAAAGTAGAATTGGCAATAATACAGTAAGTACTGGGAATTTCAGAGTCGGCCTTGGCAATACTAAAGTAGAATTGGCGATACTACAGTAAGTACTGGGAGTTTGAGAGTCGGCCTTGGCAATACTAAAGTAGAATTGGCAATACTACAGTAAGTGCTGGGAATTTGAGAGTCGGCCTTGGCAATACTCAAGTAGAATTGGCAATGCTACAGTAAGTACTGGGAATTTGAGAGTCGGCCTTGGCAATACTAAAGTAGAATTTGCAATACTACAGTAAGTACTGGGGATTTGAGAGTCGGCCTTGGCAATACTAAAGTAGAATTGGCAATAATACAGTAAGTACTGGGAATTTGAGAGTCGGCCTTGGCAATACTAAAGCAGAATTGGCAATACTACAGTAAGAACTGGGAATTTGAGAGTCGGCCTTGGCAATACTAAAGTAGAATTGGCAATACTACAGTAAGTACTGGGAATTTGAGAGTCGGCCTTGGCCATACTAAAGTAGAATTGGCAATACTACAGTAAGTACTGGGAATTTGAGAGTCGGCCTTGGCAATACTAAAGTAGAATTGGCAATACTACAGTAAGTGCTGGGGATTTGAGAGTCGGCCTTGGCAATACTAAAGTAGAATTTGCAATACTACAGTAAGTACTGGGAATTTGAGAGTCGGCCTTGGCAATACTAAAGTAGAATTGGCAATACTACAGTAAGTACTGGGGATTTGAGAGTCGGCCTTGGCAATACTAAAGTAGAATTGGCAATAATACAGTAAGTGCTGGGAATTTGAGAGTCGGCCGTGGCAATACTAAAGTAGAATTGGCAATACTAAAGTAAGCACTGGGAAGCTGAGAGTCAGCCTTGGCAATCCTAAAGTAGAATTGGCAATACTAAAGTAGGTACTGGGAAGCTGAGAGTCAGCCTTGGCCATTCTAAAGGGACCGTTTTTCAGCAACCCCCAAAATCAGTTGCACACTAAAGAGGACCCCAAAACAGTCACAGTTATCTTGAATTGATGGTTTGGGAACAACTTGCAACATGGGTTTCCTAGATCTCAGGCCTTTAACTTTTGAGCTGGGCAGAGTTTAGGGTGAGCCCCCCCCTTAAACAGTAAAAGGCTGAGGCTTTGGCTTTCAGTTTCAGCAAGACACAAAAACCAGTTGGACAAAGAGGACCCCAAAACAGTCACATTAAAGAGGATCTGGGCCTCTTGTGGGCACCCCCCTTTGTGTGACAGTTTGCCCGCGCTTTTGGTAAAGAAGTTATCTTAAATTTGCTGGTTTGGGGACCACTTCAAGAGAAGGACTTCCAAATGTTTGCTAGGATTTGTTTGCCTGTTTTTTGCCCGAAATGTTTGTCAAGTTTTTGTGCCCATTATTTTTTCCAGCACTGCTTCCGGCAAAAAAGCTTCCGCAATAGAGAACCGCTACAACAGTGACAGGACTATTGCTAAAGGAGGTGTAACGTTAGATTTCATTGCGGCCCCACGCGAACAAGAGGAATTGCGCAGGTTTAAGGCTGGCTTTGCAGGGTGTGCCATCAGAAGAAACACATGGAAGAAACGTTTCCGTCGCGCATCGAACACGCAGAGCGATTTGAGCAGCTCCGGAAATTGCGCGTCGCTTTCCGGAGGACCGCAATGGAAGTTTGGACATGAAGGAGCTGCATGTCCTGCTCGAGGACATGCAACATGAGGGTGGGACATTTGACTGCGGAGAGCAAACTGGCCGAGGCTCCACGTCAGATGACTGTGCCATGCATCTTTCTTTACAGGGTGAGCGTGGTGAGCCAAAGTTGATGTGTACCTTGTCTTCCCTCCGTTTGGAACGGAATGGAATGGAGTGAAGAGGACATACGTCTACCAGCGGCTTCAAGCCTCTATCATCCACTTTGTGTCTTCTCTTTTTACGTCTCTTTCCGTCACCGGTTACGTCAGGAACCTACGGAAAAGCCAGGCATTAACCTCTATCACATTCTCCCGGCTCTCTTCTCAGCCTTTACGTTGGGAGCCGGATGGAGAATGAAAATGTCATCCAAACAAACGAAGAGAGTGGATCCCTTTCTTTCATGTTGGGATGGTGATGAAACGAAAAACGACCGAAAGACGGGAAGTGGGAGGACATGTTACCTATTTTTCCGGATCCTTTGTCCCAGCTCTCACTTTGAAAAAGGCACCCTGGGCAGTCTCCACGACTCTGCGTTTCCGCAGGAGACGCAATGCATTCCTCGCACTCGCCGCCTTGGCTGCATGGGCCTGGGTTTGAGGCAAGGCGACCAAGGCAACGTGAACAAGTATGTGGGGCACAATTGGCGAACGGAGCCGACTCTCAGGAAAGGAGCAGGAGGAGGTACAGCAACTCATCCAGTCAGTGGACGTGGATGGGAATGGAGCCTCTTGACCTGCAGCCCTAAAGCCAATTAGAAGCCTTTGCACCAAACACAACTCCTTATCGAGCCGACAATGTGCTAGGTTATCGATTTCGAAGAGTTCAAGGCCGTCACGTCAGCTGTGTTTGTGCGCACTTTGCTGGAAACCTCTTGCTGTACTTGCTTTCGCAAATTTGGTTCTCCCCCCTCAGAGGGTTCTTTGAGGACACCAAAAACATTTGTTTCTTGAAGGCAGCGATATGTGCGAGTGCAGGAGTTGGTCCAGCGCATAGACGAGAAGTTTGCCAGCTTGCGCTGCGAGCCTACAGACAGCTTGGCGCTTTCCAGCTTTGGCTTAGTCTCACGAGGGGCTTCAAGTGGTTGTCCAAGGGTTGTTCCGAGCCATCCCCATCGTGTTTGACTCAGGCTATGAGTCGGAGGTGGAGCCGCTTGACTCAGGATTTTAGCTTGGCATATCTACTCGTGACGCTCATTGCATGCTGCTTGCTTGGCGCTGTTCAACAAGATGCGTTACACCACCTGCACAGGGGTTGTAAAATACAGGACGGGGGGCGGGCTTCATAAAGGGTGACAGAGGTAGCCGAGCTTGTCTCGCAGGTATGCGGTTTCGAGAGGCTTCACCGAAGTTGAGCTCGGCTACTGTGCTGCGTTGTGCCATTCCCTCACCCGGGTTGGACGATTGCCCCAGGCTTGCACAACAAGCATGCAGGTTTTTTGAGTCGTCCCACAGTCTTAGGGATCCCTATTCTAACCTGCATGGGGTAGGGGGGACCTTCGAAAATGGCCTGCGCATTCTCTGCCTCCAAGGAAGCTTCCGCGCCATCTTTGAGCACTTGGACGCCGACAACTCTGGGCGGCTGGAAATGAGCGAGGTTGGGACATGTTGGGATGTTCAAGCTTCAACGGCGCACCTGCTGCAAGTGTTTGGCCACATTCTGCAAGCGAAGGAAGTTGTGTGGGCCGTATTGCCATGGAGGAATAGCTGTGTCAAAGCAGAGGGAGTCGATAAGAAGCTTGAGGTCAAGTGTAAAAGTGATCCCACTGGATCAGAAAACAAGGAAGAGGCGTCCTTAAACGTGCATGCCATGACACTAGTTTTCTGTTGGCAGGCAGGTGTGAGTCTCTCGCATTTCTTCCCGGCAGGATGAAAACAGAAGCCTGATTCTGTACAGTTGATTGTTCACAGGCCAAGCACGACAAATTATGAGCATAATACATGTATGTGATACATATATATATATATATACACATGCATTTAAATGACTTTTGTACACGGTACGACCTGCTTAAATTGTCAAGGGCCCCCCAGTGAACCTTTCAGCAAGGGGCCCCTTGGGCCCCTGGCCATCGGAGAATCTTGATTGTGACCCTCGCATCCGTTTTCTCCAGGTGCGGCAGTGCCTCAGCATCATCCAGTGACTGGACTGCACGATGCACGATGCACCTGTTCAATCAAAACGAGGTTCCCCCTGAAAATGTGCATGGATTCCCTTTTAAACAGGCGCCCACCTTTTGGGTTTTGAAGAACGTCTAAGCTTGCTAGTCGAGGCACAGATCTACGTGGCAGGCGCTGGGGATTCCACACGAAGAGGGTTTCCTATTTCGAGGGCAACTTGATGCGTGCAGGCCTTTGATCAGACCTGGCGAGCGTTAGACAAGGATGCGTCAGGCAGTCTGGATTTTCACGAGCCACTTGCCTTTGATGGCAGATGACTTGTCAGTTGTGATGCCCAAGATATATCTAAGACTCCCAGGGTTGTCAGTAGCTGCATTCGAGGTTTATTGATTTTATGAGGCGGGGCCGTGGCTTGTTGCAAGTGGAAACATGCCAACAACGCGCTGACAAGACGCAGCATATGAAAGCAGATCCACCAAAACACCAAAGCCGTTGCAGGACTATGCGCGATGGCGAAGGCGTGTTTGCCGTAGACTTCGCATCTTGGGCCGCACGTTGAGAGACTTCGGGCGGCCTGCCCAACTCCGCTGGGGTCTTCGGTTTGCTTCTAATTATGGAATCGCATGTTTGTTCATTTTTTCTGATCATTTGGGCACAGCTGTGGCATTGGCAGCCAAGGATCAGAAACTCCCGCAGCATGTGAACAAGCTCGACGAGAGGACTCTTCGCTCCGTTTTGGGGTGCCCTGTTCGCAATTCGTTATGGCTGTGGCCAATGCAACTTGCAATCCCGCTAAAGGCATCAGATGATCATCTCAAGTGGGCAAGGGCCAGAACAGATTTGAGCCATGCTAGGCACTACGGCCTCTCAAAGTCTTACCTCTGGGCATTGGACAAGGCACCGTGGCCGGCACGTGATGCGGAGAAGTGTTTGTTCTTGACAGTGCCGTCGAACAGTCAAGCGAGCGTTCTCCCGTCACCACAGTCACAAAGCAGTGGTGATGCAAGAAGTTAGGGTGGGTTGGCTCTCAGGGTCAGCTGATGCAGCGCTTCTGCGACTGCATGGTGGTTAGTCCCAATGATTCCTTCCAGGATGGGCGAGCGGTCACAGTCACAAGCCAACATGCCAACATGATCATGCGAGTCTTAGTGCTTTGGATTGGTAGCACTGGGTCTTTGAAGCCCTCTTTGGAAGGCACCATCAAGCCTCCAAATGCGCAACTCAAACCACCAAGCAGATGCAAGCTAAATTGTAGCAGGGGCTTCCTCGCATCGTGGCCGAAAGTCCATGACATCCCAGCAGGGGGATTTGTTGCCCATGCTGCATGTGTAGGACATGCTAAAGATTTCTACCTTGAACGACCTCGTCAAGCGACTGGCCTAGACTGGGTTGGGGAAGTGCGTCAAAACCGACAGGGTTCCATTGAAGATGCTTTCATCTCGATGTAGCCTCTCAGTGTGTTCTGTCACGTGGCGCGTAAGTGGCGGGCCACTTTGCGTTTGCTGCCTTCGATTGAAGACTTGTGTTTTTCACATCCCTGGCTCCCAAGGTTGGCCAAGGCGGGCTGCCAGCTGCACCGTTGCGCCTGGCCCATGGCACGTTGCAAAGACAAATGGCTGCCGGGACAGGAGAAGGGCGAAGCATTGGCCTTTTGACTCTTGAAAAAACCATGGGGGCTTGTGTAGTTTGTGAGTTTCCTGCGCTCTGAGGCCAACTTGCTCTTGTAGAGCCGGGGAGCGCGCAGGAGGGCAATGACTTTGCAATTGTAGGCAGGCATTCAGGCATGCAAGGTTCAAAGAAGCCCGTTGCGTCCCAGGGGCTCTCCGAAGGAGAGCCCCGACTCTAAAAGCAGTGCGGCCACCCCTTGCGGTGCGCCAAGGGTTCTCAGGGTGCAGCTTGAGCGGAAGAAGTTCGCAGCCCCTGGCTCTTGCGCAAAGCAACACCAAAGACGACTCGGCCAAGCCGAAGGCCCGTGTATGTGATACAAAAGCCCGGCGTGCTGAGACGAAGGCGTGGAGGTCAAGACACAAGGCCTCAGGAAATGAGAAGGTCTGCCTTAGAGCACCAGAAGGACGTCCGGCCCTGCAACAGGTCCAATTGCTTGGCCGCACGTCCTCCCCCAACGAGAAACGCAGCTGGAATATGCATTCGCACACGGAAGCCCGGAGAGCATCACTTTCCAAACGAAGTGCGGTCCGCGAGGAGTAGTTTTGCGAATCCGCTCCGATTGAAGTGCCAACATCTGGATCTTTGATTCTTGCCAAGCTTCTGAGGCCCGCGCTCGAAAACGTGGGGCACTCGGCATGCCTTACACTTCAGGAGCATTGCGCGACAGCTTTGTGCACGGCTGTGGACGGGTGCAGGCTGGCTCAGCAGCGCGGGGACGCTATGCAGCAGATTTCGAGGTGCAATCGTAGCGCGACGGCGTCAAGCAACGCCTTGAAACCCCGCTGCCAAGCAACTACACCTGGCTGGCCAGGAGCTGCGCCTGCTTGGCAGAGGCGGTTTCGGCACTGTGACGAAGGCAGCTCGCCTGCGGCAACGCATAGACTGTGGCCCTATTTATGGCCTGCAGTCTCTTCACAAGTACCCACGGCACCAGGCAAACGTACACTTCTTGGTGGATTGCATAATTGTTCTTTGACGGGAGTAGGCAAATCCACTTCGGATTCTGTTCCCCCGAGGTCCGCCATCGAGTTGATCGCCGACTGCCAAGCGATATGACAGAAATCAGGATCCAAAAATACCAAATTGGACTGGGCTGACACAACTCCATACCCACAGTCCAAACCAACAATAGTAAGTGAGAGGGGAGAGAAGAGCGTTGCCTTAACTTGAGGTCAGTTCTATGCCATAAAACGCTGGGCTCCCAGCCTGCTTCACAGTTTCTCGCAACACCTGTCACTTTGCCTGGGAGTGTTCCTGTCACTTTGCCTGGGAGTGTTGCCGTTTTTGCAGTGGAATGGATCTACATGCACCTGACTTTCAAATGTGCGTTGTCAAACGTAGGGAAAGCACCCAACGTTGAGGGTCACCAATGCGTCGTCTGAACATTTGACGAAGGCTTTTTTATAAGCCTCGGGGATCAGTCAGAGAGATAGGTTTCAGTGCTGCACGGCTTTCCGCCTGCTTTCTTAGCCAAGAGCGAGGTATGGAGCTGCGTGGCTCGGCTCGAGACCGGGAGCGTCTGCTGCAAGAGTGCGCTTTGCTGCCCAGGCGGGGCCCGGGGGTCGCAAAATTAGTGATTTGATCCTTGTTTTTGGGCGGCTCCTCTTGATTAGATCTCTGGTTCTCTAATTTTGGGGCTCGCATGCCTTTGGGCTCACAGATCGTGGGCCAATGATGTTTGCTTGTCGTGCCTGTAAGCTATGATCGTCCCCTGTGCCAATGTCCAAAGCGGCCAGCCACTGGCTTTGAAGACTCAATTGAGCAGCGGTTTTTAATCAAGGGTGAAAACAAAGCGGGAATTGCGTGGGCTTTGCAGAGGCAGTCCTGGTTGGGGGCATATGCGCGCGTAGGCTGTTGCGCGCAGGCTGTTTTTCACCTCGCGTTGGCTGCTGGCATAGGCATTGTTTGAGAACTATGGTTCAATGTAAAAATGAGTTTGCTTCTTTTGCCTTCCTTATGTTTGTTCTGCAGTCTTCGTGGAGGCTCCTCATGGGCTTCGCGTAGGCATTCTCGTGGGCTTTCAAATCGTGTGCTAGCCTCAAAGTCTTGAAAGCTCAACGCGCGTTGCAGAGCTCAAAGGGCGTTGGGCTTTTTTTTGCCCCCGCAAGCAAAGATTGCCCGAGTGCCCTCGAGACTTCGGATTGGGCCTTGAGCATGCTTGCTTTGGAATGAGACATCGTGCTTTTATGTCATGGCTGGCACGCCTCGGTCGGCAGGCTGACGCATATGCACATCGTGCGATACTATCAGGCCAGCTCGCTCGGGCTGGTTGGTTAGCTGCCTGGTTGATGGGCGTTGTTGCGACCTTGGGGCAGGGTGGCATGACCCTGCGTGGTCCATGTTGGTGACGGGAGTGTCAGGAGTGGCTCAATGTAGGGAGACCGCAGCGGGCGATGGGTAGCCCCGCTATGCACAAGCCATGGCATTCATACGCTGCGGCTCCGAGCCTGTGCTCGGCAAGAAGCCTGCTAGAGACCCCGCAGAGGCCCGGTTCCTCAATTTTTTGCACCGCTACTCAGAGAAGAGAAGGCCGAGCAGGCCTGTGAGCAGGGCTCAGACGCAACCCAACCTGGGTTCTTCGGGTTCTTCGCTGGGCTCCTCTTTGAAGCGGGCTAGCACCTTGAAGCCCGGCCCGCTGCAGTCGACAGCACCGTGCCTCTCAGACACCAGTGCCCCGACTCGCCCCTCGTCAGGGAAAGTGAAGCCCATACTTTTGGCACCTGTCACGCCGATGACGGCCTTGCTTCGGAGGCCAATGTCGGCAGGGAGCCTGCAGGGCCTGAGTTCCCCAAAGAATGACGCAATCAGGCAAAGAGTGCTTTCAAAAATCGCATCAGGGCTGCATGTGGCACTGTTGGGCCAAAGGCCAAAGCAGCAACACGAGCCAGAGGATGAGGCGCCAGAGGCGAGCATGGAGAATGTGCTCCGTGTTTTCCGGCATTTTCGGAGACTCAAGAGAATTGAGAGAGAGCAAGCGGCTGAGACCAAGTTGATGTACGAGGTGAAGCGCGTGCAAGAGGCTTGGTGCGAGCCAAATATGAAGTCGGCTATTCGCGAAGTCGAGGAATATGAGGCTGGGGCCAATCCAATCTCTCGGCTGCACTGGGCGACATTTCAAGCTTGGGTGGAGCAAGAAGCAACCTGTGGAGTCCATCCGCAGTACCGCCGCACGTTGGCCGCAGTGCTGCGAGGGCTTCAGTTGTGGAAGCAGCTCTGTGCAAGTCCGGCACAGTCTTCGGAAGGCCATGGCACAGAAGAGCAATCTAATTAGCACCCTTGTGGTAATGTTTTGTGGGATTTGTTGGGTTGGTGAGGTGTTTAAAGAGGTTGGCCCAACCCTGCTAGGCATTTCCTTGGGCCTGTTGTTGTCATGGGTGTATCCCGATGCGCCTTGCACCCGAGTGGCCGACTTGCTGGCCTGCATCGGCAAGCAAGAGCTGGACTCGCGGCTTATGTGTGCCATGGGTTCTGTTTGGCCAGGGTTCCCATATGGGTGTGGCTCAAAATTTAAGAGCCAGGGTTACGCAGGTGTTGGCCTTTGTTTCCATTTGCCTAGGGGACATTTTGGGTACACTATTTTTGAGCCACAGCCATATTTCCCCAAGTAGTGTTTACACTAAGGGTTTCTTACGGAAAGAGTTACGGGCTGGTGTAGATCGAGGTGCGGGCTCAAAGTGCTGGCCCTGTGCGTAAGAAGTTGTCTTCGGTGCGACAGTCTCGCACGAAATGGAGGTGTGGACCAGTGCGTGCGTCTCGTTGTGGTGCCGTTCGCATGTTGTTTTCCTTTTTTTTAATTCTGGCAGGGGCAACAGTTTGGAGGTACGCGCTGGAAGCCTTTTTTGAAACACAACTCATTTTTGCTGGCAGGGGCGTGTCGCACGGAGGCTCGCGCTGCGACGCGGGGTCTGTTTTTCAGGAAGCCTCGCGCCAAACGCGTTTTTTGGTCTAAAGCCATGGCAGTTGTCGCAAAGTTGTCTTTCGTGCGACAGCTTCGCATGAAACGGACCTTTCTTCAAAACTGCGCTCTCGCTGTGGCGCCGCGCCGATCTTCGGATTTGTGTGTTGCCGCAGAATTCCATGGCCAGCGCAGCATTCTGTGACACTGCCGTGCGTTTTTCGTAGTGGGAGCATTATGTTTTGCGCTGCTGCTTTCGGATGCGTGGCAGGCGCAGCATTTTCATAAACAGGGTCTGTGAATTTCGTGGAAGGCACAGTGTTTCACTCATTGGCAAGCATTGCAAGACGAAAGTGAACCCTTTGCGGAGATCGTGCGTGTCGAAGCGCTCTCGCTGTGGCGCCGTGCGAACTTTTCTTGAGCTCGGCGAACCCTGTGCGAAGATCGTGCGTGTCGAAGCGCTCTCGCTGTGGCGCCGTGCGAATGTGTCTTGAGCTCGGCGAACCCTCTGAGGAGATCGTGCGTGTCGAAGCGCAGTCACTGTGACGCCGTGCGAATGTGTCTCGAGCTCGGCGAGCCCTCTGCGGAGATTGCGCGCGTCGAAGCGCTCTCGCTGTGGCGCCGTGCAAGTGTCTCTTGAGCGCGGCGACTCTCGCCGTGGCGCGGTGCGAATGTGTCTCGAGCTCGGCGAGCCCTCTGCGAGATTGTGAAGCCTGATGCTCAGCTTGCTTATCAGATTTCGCAGAAGCTACGCTTGAGCAGGGGCATCGGCGTGTTTACGATCTCATCAGGTGGGAGAGGTGTCAGTGTCTATTTAACGTCCTTCTATGTTTCTGGGCCACCTGTCGTCAAGTTAGACCCAGTACTATTTGGGGTCTCTTGCCGGGATTGATTGCAGTCATGCCAGGAAAGCATCCGCCACCAGACTCCACGGCTCGTCGATCCCGATGAGCGCAGGCAACTAGAAAGGACTTCTTGGAATGATCGTTCAAAAGCCGCTGCCTTGAAGCTTTACTAGGTTGTGCTGATTGTGGGGTCAGCAGTGACGCTTGCGCAGGATCTTTCAGAATGAGTACGCGAAGGGTCGGCCAAGCATTTCAACCGATGATATGGCAGGGGGTTCATTTCCTGACCAGCGGACAAAGCTGCTCACCCTGGTGGCCGCTTCGCCGGATCAAAGCGCCTTGTGCACTCTTGTCTTGCGGCACGCCCTCGCACTTGCACAGACACATTGGCAAGGACTCGCATTTGGCGCAAGAGGTGTTTGGAGACAAGCAGCGCCTTGGACGCGAGCACTGATCAGGATTTGATGTTCATTCGTAGCTTCAAGTAGCCCGTAGTGGGAGGGGAAGGTGTAAATCCTTAAAAGCGGCGCCCAAGCGTACTAGCAAACGCACCTAAGCGCTCCAATTGAAGCGAGGGGCTGGCATTGCGGAGCCTCTGCTCCCGGCAACGGTTTACATTCACCGTGAGTTATATGCTTTGCTTTTGGCAGGAAGTTTGAAGCTTTGTCCTGCAGTTTTCGACATTTAAGTCTAGCGTGTTCAAAACTTAATCCCCAAAAAAATCAGTGGATTGCGGATCATTCGCTGTACGGATTGGATTGCGCAGATTACGGATTATGGGTTGCCATAGAAATCTCATGCTCCAACAGACACGTTGACCTGCAATTTGCAGCGCGGATTACGGATTAAGAAGATAACCAACCAGGACGAGGATTAAGCGGCTTGCGGAAGTTTTGATTGGGGCCCCATGGATTTGGAACAGCCGAGCAAGCCAAGTTCGCCGTTCCTTTTGCATCCCGCCTGGTTGCACAGGATTGATATTCGGACATTCTTGGAGCACATGTGCGAGAGGGGATGCCGGGGTCACGAGCAAGTCCGGAGCTTGACCAGTCAGCCGCAGTGCTTGTGGCGTTATCAGCTATGTTCACGGATCAGGATGGTCATCAACGGGACAAGCCGCAAACTTGTGCGTTGGATGCGCGTGCTCCGAGGTGAGCCGTGTAACCACGACGGGTGGCGTCAAGTTGATGCACAGCGGCCGGAAGGCGCTGGACTTCCAAGGCCTCTCGGTCGGTAGTCTTAGACGGTCACTCATGGTGCAAACAGTGGCTGCGCCTGGCGCACATTGGGTTGGTTGCTTAAGGTTTAGCGGACGACTGCGTGATGCTGAGAATCCCGCGTTTGCAATGTCAGGTTGGTTGGCTGAGACGCCTTCCAAAACGGAATTGGCACAACGGAGACTGATAGACGCCGTGGAAGCAGAGGTTATTGCATGGAGATCTGGGATTGGCTATTGATTCTTCGCAGCGATTATTTGCACGCCACGGAGGCCTGTAAGCTTCCGATCAATGTGCGTGTGGGTGAGGCTGCAGGCGTGTGCCAAGCCTTCAAGATACAATTCCTGTGTCAGCCAGCGGGCAGTTTTTGGTTTCATCAGCTAAGGCCCGTCTAGTTACAGAATGACTGTCACAGGAGTTATTGTCACACGAACCATGCTAAATTGTCACGTGCCTTAGGGCGGACGGAAGACGACTGACGATGATGGCACATAGTTCTTGGTAGGAGTTGAAATGTGATTTGGCTGGGGGCCTGGTTCTTGGCGTATTGTTTAAGTTTGGGGCTGTACAGATTCTAGGCTTTTTGCTGTGGGTCTTAGGGTTTAGGGTTTGTCATTTTAGGGCTTTGGGTTTTCACGGTTTAGTTTTTAGGGTGCAGTGTCAAGCTCCCACGGCTATCATCTACATGTGGTTTAACCTGCCACTAAGGAGAGGCGACGCAAAGCAGCGCCAGCAACCATTCCTGCACCAAATCAGAATGCTTGCAAAGCAAGTGGGCACTCGAGTTTGTCTCAAAAGGGAATATTCCTTCAAAGACCAGTTTGAACCGGGCGCGTGTACCGGTCCCACCGCAGGCCTCCAAGGGGCGCTCGTGGCTAGTCAGAACAACAAATGGGTGCCGCGCATTTTGGCTATGGCATGTGCTAGGGGCGTTGACCGTAAAACCCCCCACATTCTCAGACTTCCGCATCTCAGTGCGGACCTCAAGCAGGCAAGTTCAGAGTGCCAGGCGTGGATTGAAACGGAGCAGGTGGAGCAGAAGGAGGCAACACGCAAGGCTCCCAAGTTTGACTCGTTCCGTGACTGCCATGTTCGTAGCCCAGGGTGCAAAGGTAGGTTTTGTTGACCCTTTAAATCCATGTAATTGACACAACCCTGCAAGTGTCCCAGGTTTCACTGGCGGCGCCAGGACCTTGGCGAAAGGTCTCGGCGGGGGAGGGGGGGGGGCCGACACATTGAACAAGCCAGGTGTTTGGGAGATGACCTTTGTGTAGGGAGAAAGAGAGAGTCCGACAAGGGCTAGCGCCAGTTTCACAGTGTGACACTGTAGCCCTCCAGTCCACCGGCATTTCACTGAAGAGTTGCTGAGCTGAAGCGGCCATGGCTGAGGCAGCCAAGGCCCGCGGTGCAAAGAAGAGGGCAGTGACCCTAGGAAGACACTTGGCGGCCCTCTTGAGCAATGCCTGACCGTCAGAGTTTGCCAGCTCTACAGATTCAGGTTAGAACCGTGCCAGGGCCTGATGCAGATGAAAGCTGTCACTGCGACGCGTGTTGTACATGTCAGGGAGTGCAGCATCATGTTTTGTGCCTGACCAGTTGAGCGCATCCAAGCCGAAAAGACTGAGGAAGGCTGACGTAGCCGATAGTGGACTGCTCAGAGCACACACGTCTACGTCTAGAGTATGAGTGGGAGCAGGGAAGGCAAGGAAGGCCTAGGGGACTGGGACGGCAGTAGAAAAGCAGGCCGCTGCAGCACCCCTGCTTTCCAGGGGATGACTGGCTCTCGCATACTGGAGCGCAGGCTTGGGCCGGGCACCTCAGACCATCTCAACTCTTTCAACTTGGCTTCCTTAAAGCAACGAGGCGGTAGGCTAACAGGTGCCTGTCAGAAATCTTGTCTTGCTCCAGGCTTCCAGTGTAGACACCTCAAACTTGAAACTGAACGTTCTTCTACGACAGGCTTGCTTTGGAACTAGCTATGACAGCAGCTGCACCCTTCCTAGTTGCAACGGCTGCGATGGCAAAGCTGACCCAAATTAGCTAGCATCCACCGGGCCTTGTCCAGAAGAGCATGAGCTGCAGAGGCTTTCAATGTGTAAGTGCCATTCCATCCGCATGGCTTTTCGAAGCATTGCCTTTGATGTTGACCGAGTTTACGCATTCGACTGATCACGCCTCAATCCCGCTGTCACCGGTGCTCACCGCCACATGCCTATTTCTACAAGCACAAAGCTTGGCTCCCTACAAGCAAAACGAACACAAGTGACACAATCAACACTGGTGAGTTTAAAAGTGACTCGGCTGCCAAATCTTTACGGCCATGGAGCTGGACATCTTCACTGCGGAAGGCTTTGAGGTGTTGGCGAGCTTTGCGCCGCTTGGCTTTTGGACCCACTCGGAAGGCTTGGAAGGCACTAGGCGCTGGTGGCCCAGCGCGGAGCACTACTTCCAAGCGGGGAAGTTCTGGACTTGGGAGCTGCAGGAGCAGATCCGCCAGGCGCGGGAGCCGGGCATCGCCAAGCACCTGGGCCGCACTTTGGGCCCCCTGCGCTCGGACTGGGACGATGTGAAGCGGGCCCGGCTGCACCGAGCCTTGCTGGAGAAGTTGTGGGCGCACTCTGCGGCCCGAGAGGTGCTGCTGAGCATTCCTGCAGGCACCCGCATTGTGAACGGCAATACGGTGGACGTTTTCTTCGGCACTGGGCCGGATGGGTCCGGGCTGAATGTCATGGGCCAAGAGTTGCAGGCATTGAGGTCTTTCTTTGAAGAGCACCAGCGGCGCTGGGAAGTGCCCGTCGAAGTGGCAGAAATTGGCGAGCCCTTTGATCCACGGTCCATCTTCGTAGATTTGACAGGGGTGATGCCAGCAGAGACAACTGCCTTGGTATCCGATGTGCTGGGCATTGACGTAGAAGCGATTGAAACTGTCGACTTTGTTTACGATGGAGGCTTTGAAAGGGCTGCAGTCATGGACTTTCAAGAAGCAAGCGATATGGAGTGTTTCCTTGCTCAAAACTTTGAGGATTGCAAGCTAGAGGTGCGCTTGGTGCAGCAAGCTGTTGTCACACTTTGGAACGCAACAGAGGATAGCTACCTGGGGCGGGCTGACGTGTGTCATCTTTGCCAGTCTGCAGCGAAGATTGAGAGTCGCCTGAGGGAGGTACTTCCTTTGTTGCGGCATGCGGACTTCAAGCCCAGGATCACCGTAGCCATTGATGGTGATCCCGAGCAGCCACTCACGAATTCCATTCTGCGGCTGGCGTGCGTGGCTGCAGCCAAGGGAGGTGATGTGTTAATCAATGGCTACTATACTTTGCCCACCAGACACGTGTTTTCACTGGCAGCCCCAGCTGCTGAGTCACCACTTGTCCATTGTGGCTCTCACACCGAGCTTTCTGCTGTTGAGCTGGCCAGCCGCATTCGAGGCATGATTTGGGGAGCAGCCCTAGGTGATGCCGTGGGCCTGGCAACAGAGTTCATGGACAGATCTGAAGCAGCAAAGGCGTACCCCGATGGGTGCCTGAGCCCGACAAGCCGCATTCAGGACAAGCATCGCAAGCGCTGGTTGCCAGGGGACTGGACAGATGACACCGACCAATTGGTCCTTTTGCTGGATGCCATCGTTGCAGGGAAGGGGCTTTTCGATCCCATGTCTTTCTCAGCCGGCCTGAAGCGCTGGTGTGCTTCGGGCTTTCCAGAGCTTGGCGATTCTGCAGGCCTGGGAGTGGGGCAGACGGTAAAGTCGGTGTTGGAGCATGTGGCCTTTGATGTAGCTCCAGAGGTTGCTGCGGATGCCATTTGGAGGCAAAGTGGCTGCTCACTGGCAGCAAACGGAGCTATCATGAGATGCGCAGTGGCAAGCATTGGTTGCTTTTGGGATGATCAGGTTGTGTCATTCAATGCAGCTGCCTCAGCTGCTGTCACACATGCCGACCCAAGATGCGCCAGCAGCTGCGTCTGCATTGCCTTGTTGCTGGCTCGTGTGCTGATGGGCTGCGAAATGTCCAGCCCGGCCCAGCGTCGTGAGCTGGCAGTTGCGTCCGCACTCCAGTCCGTTGGCTACTTGGCCGGCGGCGACTGGGACGAGCTCCTGCGCCATGTCAACGTTGAGGCCAGCGGCCTGCGAGGTCTGCAGCTGGGGGGCGGGGGCATCGGCTACACCTACAAGCCCCTGGGCGCGGCCTGCTGGGCCTTCCAGCACGCTGAAGACTTCCGCGAGGCCGTGCAGGCTATAGCCATGGAGGCTGGAGATGCAGATTCTAACGCCACGGTGGCGGGAGCGCTGTTGGGGGCACGGCTGGGCTATTCTGCGCTACCGGCAGTTTGGCTCAGCGAAATGCTCCCAGCCCAGCGGGACTGGCTGAACGCCAAGATTGACACCTGCCTAGCAATGCTGGGACTGTCCTAGGACTGACGTTTGAAAAATGGAGTGCGAGAACGAGGGGTGCTGGGCGCTGAGAGGAGAGAAGAAGGAGCACAGCGAGCATGTTGTGTCTCAGCAAGACAACATGAGGCCCGTGGGGCCTCACCTCCTCCAGGCCTGACATGTGCAGCACAAGACATTTGCTCGATGCACTTGCAGCAACCGCATTTGCCTCAGAGAATGTCACGACATGCAATGCAGGTGGTTCGGCTTTGGCAGTTCGGGGTGGCTAGTGCAAACTGCACTGTGACATGCAATATGTTTTCCGCCCCGTGCCCCAACACAGCTGAAGCCACAATGCAGCCGTTTGAGGACCTGCTTTCGGGTTGCTTGTTTGGAGCCACGGGCCTCTGTGAGAGCAAGAACGGTTGCCATTTCCCCGTTGAGCGTCAATTCTTACGGCTTTCGTGAACACAGAACCTAAACACCTTTCTTTGCAAATCGCAAAGCCGGTAAGGATGGTAGTTTTGTGAAATACGGTCCCGATGACTGGTTTTCTTAATTCCCACTTGCAAAACGGGCCGGGGACGCCCCACCTGTCCATGGCCGGCCGCAGCCGGCTGCGCGTGCTGCTCCGGGACTTCGGGTGCCCCGCAGAGGCGGACGCTGCGACGTTGGCCGCAGGGTTCCGGCGCTTGGCCAAGGACGGGGGGGGATTTGCTTTCGCAAATGGGTACGGTATGTGTGTTAAGGGTAATCACCTTTTTAAAGAGAAGCCAAAAGAAGACCACCCGTTTGGGGCCCCAAAATTTAATGCCCACATGCGGGAGAGCAACATCAAAAAAAACACGCGCCCCTTTTCAACCCTTCAACCTCTTCCCGTTTGGGAAAGTATTTCCAACCCGAGGAGCGGCACCCGGACCTGGCTGTGCCGCTCGGGAAGTCCCGGCAAACTGCAAACGCGGAGTTCGCGGAGCTGCCCGGCTCGGCGTTTTGTTTTGTGAGCCCAACGCCACAGTTTGGTACATTTATGCAGGTCCAGCTCTGGCCCATAGTCACATCGACGGAAGTGAACTTGGTGTGTTGGCCATGTGAGGCTGCGGAAACGTTTCGAAGAGGCCAAAGAGCTTCTGGAAAAGCAGAAGGAGATGGAGGTCACAGGGGCAAAAATAGCCGTGAATAGCAGGACCCAAGAGGCTTCTTTTCATTTGGGCTCCCTTTGTGTTTGACTTGCCAAGCTTGGCCGATGCATGGCTTTCAGAACGGGCTTCTTAATATGTTGGAACCAGAAAGTTCAAGATTTGTGTAGCTAGGAAGCCCAGCAAGTCAGTTCAAGACATGAGCCATATGCCGGCATGACAGTTGAACCATGGTTTGGCCCAACCCTGGGAGGACCGTGGCCATATGCGTCATGACCATATCATTGCAAGCCATGGCGGGCTGTTTTATCATGATCCCTACAAGTGGCGACCACCGAAGACCAGGAAGGAGAAGCCCAGTGCAGAAGAACCTGCCGACTTGATTACCAAAGTCAAAGCACTCAGCTTGCTCGCAGCCGTTCTGTCAGGCACTCTGTATGTCTTTGACCGGACTGCAAGGAAGAGGAGTTTGTTGTGGAATGGTTGAGCTGGCTGTTCCGGCAAGTGACCCATTGATCGGCAAGCTCGCACTCGTCGCCCTTGGACATCAACTGTGGGCTCAGCCCAGAAGATTGCAGCTGATGCGCGAACCTGATGGTCCAGGATGCCGTGCCTTTCTCGCTTAGCAGATGCCAGGGCTCGCCCAGTGACCCCCATTGCCAATGTGCGGAGCGCTGGATGCGAACTGCGAAGAGGTGATCAGCTGGCGCTTTTCTTTTTGTCTAGGTCAGATTATGTTCAACTTCACTCTATCATCGTCCGCCATGCAGGTGCCAACTTGCAGAGGGAAACTTTGTACATCCAGTGGGGGCGCCCAGTTGGCGCACATGCCGCCTTGCCGTGATTGAACATTTCGGCTGGAGATCCTTGGCAGACACGGCTTCTTTGGAAATTTAATGGCGAGAGAGGCTGCCGGCTCCTTGCACCCTAAGGATGGAGTTTTGTGATGGCACCACTCTGCAAGAGGCTGGCCGCACGCTGCATTTCCCGGTGAATACATTTTGGGAATCTGGAATCTTGACCTAAACACTCTAAAGTGTTCTGATTTTAACGGAAGGTGTGAAGTTGTGGCTGGGGATGCCTTCTCTAGCAGTCGGGTCTTGAACCCGACAAGCCTTGGGAGCACATGGCGCGCACCTGTGGTGACAGCTTAGAAGCCTTGCCATGAGGCCATCAAAAGTGGTGAGTTGCAGAAGGATGAGGCCTTGATTTGGAAGCTGCCGCTCTGCCGGCATTTCTGCAAACTCATCTGCATTTCTGCCGGCATTTCGGGGTAGCGAGCTAAGGTTTCGCCAAGTTCTTGATGCTGGCTGCTTAGATTTGCCCCAGGCAGCTGCTAAAGCGTTGCCTGAAACAGCCTTTGCGGCACTGGTGGCGGAAAATGTGTGCGTTTGTTCCGGAGGGGCGTGACTCACCCCTAGGCAAGCTGGTAGGCAGGCATGTGGCGAGGCAGCCAGGCAGCTAGGCAGGCAGGTGCAGGCAGGCAGGGGAGGGGAGGAGGAAGAGGAAGAGGACGAGAGAGAGGGGGAGAGAGCGCAGAGACAGACGGACGGACAGACGGACCAGTGGCACGAAGAGACGGAGATTCTGACAGACGGACAGACGGACAGAGAAAGACACGGACAGACGGACGGACAGGCAGACAGACCGACAGACAAACAGACTGAGAGACAAAGAGACAAACAGACGGACAGAGACGGACAGACAGACAGAAAGAGAAAAACACACACGGGACAGACCGATAGAGAGACCTAGGGCCACAGAGGCAGAGCCATGTTTATGGGAAGATGTTTGCCTTTTGCAAAAGAAGTTGTGTCTTCGTGTTGTGCGCACACGGTCTCTTTTTGCATGTGGCGCACTTTGAGGCATTGGCGTACGTCCACTCAAAAGGCACACAGAGAATCATGGGCTTGCGCTTGCCGTGGCTGCTGAGTGCCCAAGCATTAAACTTTGCTTGTCCAGGCCTGATTCACCGCGACATCAAGCCGCGAGAATCTCGTTGAGGGCTGTGAGTCTTTGGTACAGGCCTTTTTGCTTTCAGTCATCTAGCTGGTGGGCTGACAGGGAATCGGTGCAGCATGCACAAGCTGTGTTGGTCGCTACTTTTATCTGCAGCTGCTCAGTCTCAGGGTAGGGTTGCCTTGCAAACCCTGACATGCCCTTGGCGGCCCGAGCTGTGCCGCCAAACTGCAGGCAGGCATCAAACGATGCCTCAAATTCAAAGGGGTGGGAGGGGTGGGAGTGGGGTCCAGATGGCCAGCTGGCGATGAATGATGTTTGGCCACATGGATTGTTTCGGGGCCTCTTGACCTTGGGATCTCAGGTGGTTGGACAACGCACTCGGCCCCAAGCGTAACAAAAGGGTGGCTTAGACTGGACTGTTCTCAAAAGGCGACTAGGGATGGGCAAGCAGAGATAACACCTGTCCTCATTCAGGAGATGGTCCAAGCGCCCGTTTGTGGCTTTGCAGGCTGGGCAGGGGACTGGAGAGGGGCGAAAGAAGCGAGAGCTCAAGAAGCTTGTTCGGAGTTCTTCTCATGGTGGATGAGCCGAGCTGCGTGAGCAGCCTTCAATTTTGGGAGCACTCACTGCTACTGACCCTTTGCTCAGGTGGTTTGCCTGGCTTGCTTCGCTTTGAAGATGCGTCTTGGCAGCTTTGAGGATCATCAGGGCTTATCACCGCCGTGTGTATCAGAGTTTCTCGGCATGACATTCATCCAGGTGGCACTTGGGCGACTCAAGCAGCCGCAGATCACTCATTAGTCGCTGGCCGAACTGGCATCACAGCTGCATCCATGAATTCAAATCGACGAAGCAACGCGTAGCACTTCTGGCCAAGGCCCTATGTTGTAGCAGCCACTTTTTTTGGCGCGCAGCTACCTGGCATGCAGAGAGTGGGCTGCGTTGAGAGTCAGCAAAGATTCAGCAGTGAGCTCGCACAGCGTTTTGTCCAAGTCGATGTTGGCACATGGAGATTTCTGCCAGCGGGATCATGAAGCAGCGACAGGGCTCGCAGTGCAGAGCGTGCCCAGGTGCTTGTTCGCATCTGTAATATCCTTCTCGATTCTGCCAATTCTGCATCACAGAGATCAGGGTGTGCTCCTCAGAGGGCTTCATTTCCTGGCGCCCGGTCTGGCATGATGGGAAGTTCAAGAATCGCGCTCAGACCGTCAGGCGGTGATGAACTGCTTCGGCGGATGCGCGAGGCTGGCGAGAGGGACTGAGATCAAGCAGAGAGTGGGGCGACCAGAGGTGTCATTCATCATGACCTTTGTCAGTTTC